GGGTGGGTGGGTGGGTGTGCATGTGTGTGGCCACCCCCTCCCAACAATCACTTTATCAATAAATAAAAACAACAATAAAAAAAAAAAAAAAAAAAAAAAAAAAAAAAAAAAACAAAGGGGGGGGGGGGGGGGGGGGGGGGGGGGGGGGGGGGGGGGGAAGGGGGTGTAGGCGCGGAGACGGGCTTGCCCGCTTGGGGGTTGGAGGTGGTATGTGGAGGGTGCATGGGGGGTTTTCCGCAGTTCGGGAGAGCACGGGTGTCACCGTGTTGGTCCCTGCGCGTTGAGGGTTACGGGGTGTGTTTGCTGGGGTACGGGCTGCGAAGTGGTGGGGGCTTGCGGTGGGGTTCCGGGGTCCAAGGCATCGGAGAGGGCCCTTTTTTTAGCATTTTTTTTCTTTTGTCGCCAGCTTGCACTTCGTTGTGTCCGCAGCCCCGAGCCCGCGTCGAGTTGATCGCTCGTCACGCGGAGCCCGCTGGCATTCAACGGACATTCAACGGGGATTCAACGCCGTTGAATGTATTCAACGGGCGTTCAACGGGGGTACACAGGGGTTACAACGGGGGGGCATCCTGATTTTTTCGCCCCCCTAGGCTTGGGCGCGTGTCCGCGGCCGTTTGCGACCGACCTGTTGTTCGGATTTCAACGGGAAGCCCCGTTGTTCCGTTCAACGGGGATTCAACGGGACCCCTCGGGGGGTACAACGGGTACAACGGAGTTGAAAAAATCATGTTGCCCGTTGAACGGACACATATACAAAAGGTTCACGTTGTTCTGTAATCAACCGACATGTGGCAACTGTCTGATACCCCACATACAGAAAATGTCGAAAATAGGTTTTTCGTGGATGTACAGACCCGCCTTCACTTAGGGCGGGTACGAGGCTTGCTGGGGCCACAACCAACAACATTTGCATGCTTGATAAGGTCCTTGTTCAACTTCTTGTTTTACAGTCTCATCGTCCTGCAGAAATAACATGAATATTTTATAGCAAAACAAAATGAGACACCAATGAAAATGAACAACGTCAGCACCGCTAGCTGTTTTTCTTTCTCGTTGATATCGTATCTTTAATACACTATATAAATTACACTTATACACTGAAAAACAATATTCTCGTTGATATCGTATCTTTAATACACTATATAAATTACACTTATACATTGAAAAACAGTATTAGAGAGAGACAATCGGGAGGAATCTACGAATTTAAGGTTGGATGCATCGAGTGCGGCGATATTAGTGAGAACCTATTGAAAAATAGTCCTTCATTTCGGATAATCTATCAAACACTTATTTCATTTTACATKTTAGTGTATGKTTAWRTATTTGTGACAAATAAACRYCCAAATAGMAAAACCTTTCAAAATAAAGTCARCGCTTYTAAACATGTGTTCCGTAGGGAAGGTCAGTAGGTGCGTACTCCATTAACACTAGACGCATAGATTGTACTAAAATTAATATGCACCTACCGACCAATAGAAAAATAAAATTAACAGATTACTATTTCCTTAGTGTAATCTTCATGTACATACATTTTTGTTCAGTGACTGTGGATAGGTCGCACCCCCAACCCCCAGCGCGGGCACACACACACACCATGCACTTAAACTGCATTTTTTTTTTCAAGTTTTTGTATGTGTATATGTATCTGGGACAATGACATAAAACAATGATACAATTTAAGTGAAACACACACACACACACATAACTTTTTAAAATAAGGTCAATGTTTCCAAAATAAGTGTCACGTAGGAAAGGTCGGTAGGTGCCTACTACTTTGTCGCTAAACACATCGATTGTGCAAGAATTAATATGCACCTATCGACCATAGAAAATGAAACTATACCAGATTACTATTTGGACAGTATGATCTCTATGTTCCCATGTATTTCACTTCCTTAACTATTGGTAAGTCGCCCACCGGCTCCCGACGCCCCTGACCTCGCACACATCATGCTTTTTTTAATGAAACTATTTTATTTATTCATTAATCCAGTGACTGTGGGGCAGTAGCCCCCCCCCCTTTTCCCCAACACACACACATACAGCCCGTGCACGTATGTCGCACTTTGTTTATTTTTTGCAACTTGTAATCTGTGAGTATACATTTGTGACAATAATATAAATTTCCTGAAACACGTGGATAGGAAAAACTTAGAAAATGAGGTCAACACTTTGAAATCGGTGAGGGCTGGAATTGTCGGCCCTCGTTCCCTCCCTCACATGAACACTCTCCCCCGCCATATCTCCCGTTTTCCTCCTCCGCACAACACCTCTCTTCGCTGTCATCGTTTGTCGATTGCAACTCGGACGAATTCCGCCAACGCCCAGTTCGCCCGCCAACGACAGCCATCACGATCCCCTGCCATCGCCAAGGTAAGCGGGTTAGTTGAGAGAGAGAGAGAGAAAGAGAAAGAGAGAGAGAGAGAGAGAGAGAGAGAGAGAGAGAGAGAGAGAGAGAGAGAGAGAGAGAGAGAGAGAGAAAACCAATCGTGGATGGCCCCCTGTATTTCATGCTTCCAAACTCGCAACTTTCGCTTAGACTGATCAGTTCCCATCAAGGAGATCAATGCTGCCCCCAACCATGGATTGGCATATGGACGTCGACGATATCTTGGAACATAGTGACTTGCCTGTACCCAAGCCTGTGGGCAGGGGAACCGCCAAAACCTCTGAGGGAGTGTCGGGTCAGATTCAAGCATCAAACAAATCCCAAGGAAGAACGTTGGATCACAAGGGAGGAGCTTGTTAGAACAGCATTCCAGGTCGTGGCCGAGTATGAACGAAAGTTGAAGGGGAAAGCACCTGTGTAGAACCATCTCAGTGGACTTTCGAAGCTAAGGGGGATGGAATGCGAGGATTAAGCCCTCACGAGACCCTTCTCAGGCATGCAAATGTTCGGGGTTGCGCCCCCAGCAAGCCTCGGTACCACCCACAACGCAATGCAGTGCAACCTCAGCCAAAATGCCATGTCAGCATACTCTCATCATCATACATACATCCGTTGTCGCCACAGCCTTCCAGTGGCTGGCTTCTCCACCTAGGCCCCACTACAACATACCAGCGTCAAAGTATCCTTACGTCGATATGAAGCATCGTGAGCGCACCGAGTAACAATGTCGCCGGTGTCAGGTAAGCGGCGATCACGAACCAGCTCTGATACCAAATTGCAAGGAATATGAGTGTGAACAATATACAGAAAACCAAGTTGCGAAATCACACAGATGTCCAAGTAGTCGTGTCCAAGCAGAGAGTACAAATGCACCAAGAGACCATTCATATAGAGCAATACAATGAAGTAATGAGCCAATGTTCAAGCACGTAGGCCACACCAGCACAATATCCAAAGTCGCTCCTCTTTGTCTGGCGCCCAGCGCCCAACGCCCAGCCTACTCTACCCGACTATCCTCCCTACAGCTTTGTTCACACAACAGGCTCAATTTGACTCTCGAAGACAAATGTACATGACTGTCAACACCATAGCCGACCTCTCTTCATGCACCGGGTACGTATCTCGTCACCCTCAATCAGACCTTGATTACCCCACACTCGCCTCCTTCCCTGAAGACCACCAGATCGCCCGCTTACCCCCTGGCGCCCGGTAGCCCGGTTATGGCTGCCTGCGCCCTGCTGCCCTGCAGCGCCCCATTTCACCTCTACCCGCCCCGTCAGCGCCCTTGGCCGCAGCGCAGCATAAAGCAGTAGCGCAGCAGCACTTCGGCATTGCCTACGCAGGCCAGAATACCTGGCCTGGGCTGCCTTACTTCTTTTTTGGAAGTGGCAGCCTCCTGGATGCTGCGTGTGGCCTGGCTGGAAGCTTCCAGTAGCTTCTGGTTGGGCCTCAGTCCCTGCGCCCAGGCGCGAGGCTACAGTTGAGGGCCTGGGCCCTTTACAGTTGGGCACGGCCTGAGTCTCCGGACTTTGGCTTTGCTGCATTTGTGCACGGCCCTAGGGTAGGTGCGTCGACAGTACTGCTTTTGCATAAGCCACTGGCCACTTCACAATGTATCGGCCCTGCCTTGTGTGTATGTGCCCAGGTGCAACTGCCAAGGTCTGGGCCAACTGTACGACGCAACTTAGTGAGCCTCACGCGTCCATCAACCAACTGACGTGCTGCATGAGCCTGAATACCTATATAGGAAAATGTCGAATTTTGGGCTCTGATGAATATTCAGGCCCGCCTTCACTTAGAGCGGGCACTCAGCTCGCTGGGGGCCTCTGCCCAGAACATGTGATGTCTGATAGGGCCCCGTGAGGGCTCTTTCCTCGTCAATATTTCCGAACAAA